TATACTTTGCTTACTGTAGCATAGTTCCGCTCGAGCGGGAAACTGGCTTTGAATGTAAACACCAGCGATGGCTGTTTACATACAAGCGTTCGGGCGTCTGTAGAGACGCCTGATCGCTTGTAATATGGGGTCGGGTGTGCCCCCCCCCCTCCGCTGCTGGCGATACCGGGCTCCGCTGTTCCCGGTGTGGGCCCGGGACCAGCACAGCAGCTCTGCGGCCGGAGATCAAACGGAGCTCAGTACACGAGCTCCGTTTGATCTCCTCTTCTGAATGCAGGCATGTATTGTGTGTATTACATCACTTCCTGCTTTCAGTGTCACTCTCCGGTACAGAAACCGGAGAGAAGCTGGTGAAGCAGGTCTCTGCTTCATCAGCTTCTCTGGGGGTCCCAAGGTGACCGGGGTCTTAAAGAAATGTCTCCATAAAGAGGACCTGTCACTGCAAATTGGCTATCACATAGGGAGCTTGTTTGTTTGTCTATTTACCGGACGTGTTTTATGTTTTACCAAAAAATTGGGTAATAATAAATAATAATAATAAATGTTTTATATCATAACATAGGGAGAACAGGCTTTTTTTCAAAATTTTCGATACTTTTTTCATTATATAGTAAAAAAAAAAAACCCGTAGTGGTAATTACATGGCGGAATAAATGTCAGTCAAAGTACTGCAGCGCTGAATACTGAAAAATGGCCTGGACAGGAAGGGGGTATAAAGACCCCGGTCAGCAAGTAGTTAAAGACCGTATTCAGAGAGTACTAATTAATGAATCATACTCCGAGTGATTGGAGTAGTGTTTGGACAGTACTTTCTAACCTGTTTGTAAATGTTGGGAATTTGGAATTAAAGGTACCATTTCTGTGTTTGCAGATAACACTAAACTATGTAGTGGAATAAAGTCCCTACCAGATGTCTGATTTACAAGCTGACCTGGGTGCACTGTTTAATTGGGCAACTGCATGCCAAATTAGGTTTATTGTTGATAAATTTACAGGTATGCACTTGGGGCTAAAAACATGTGTGGACAAACATGTAGGTGTTCTAGTAGATCATTGACCTAACAGTGTACAACACCAAGCTGCAGTTGCTAGAGAAAGCAAAATACTTTCTTGTTTTAAAGGAGACATAGACGAAAGATAGAGACCTAATCTAGCTCCTGTGTAAAGGGTTAGTCCGAACATTTGGTCATTTTGAATATACCATTTTTGTGCAACGGTCCACAAATGGATGTTCCAGAACTGGAGAGAGTGCAGAGAAGAGCAACTAAACTAATGATCGATATGGATGACCTCAGCTATTAGACAAGATTACCTGAACTAATTTTATTGTCCCTACAGAAGCAGCAGTTTAGAGGGTGAACTTATCACATTGTATAAATACATAAATGGTCTATATAGTAAACTTTGTGAAAAGTTGTTCACTTTAAGGCCCCATTCACGCCTAGGCGTATTGTAATATGCGCGTCTGTCGCGCAACCGCCACGCGGTTTTTTACCGCGATTCGCGGTAAAAAAGTCGCGCAACCTTCGCGCGATTCCAAAGGCTACTTGGCTGTATCCCAATGGAAAACGCCCTACAAAACGGCCCAAAGTAGTCCCGGGACCTTTTCAGGCGTGGGCCGCTTTGTAGGGTGTTAGGCGTATTTCCGCCCATCCCTAGGTGGGAACGAGGGCATTGACTACAATGCTATTTATTTTTTTTACCGTTTTGTATTGCGTTCATCGAGCGCAAAACGGTCAGGTGTGAACGCAGCCTAAGATCATTGCAAATGACAAAGTTGCACTCTTCACATCTACCTCCACCTATGGAAAGGCTTATTTAACGTAAGGGCTATGAAAATATGTAATATATTTCCACATGAGCTATTTCCAGCAAACTCTGTAGTTTGTGGATGTGTAAAAATAAAATGGAAAAAAAATACTTTTGTCTCCCGTTCATCGAAGGACACAGGGCAACAGATCGTAGATCCTGAATGGTAGGGTATATCGCCATCTGCAGGAGTAGGACGCTAGGCACATAAAAGACAAGACAGCCTAGGGGCGGCCCCTGCTGGTGGCCCAACCCCCCACTTGCTGACAAGTCTCCAGTTTTTTGCCTAGAGTCAGGAGCAAAAAATGTGTTCCTTTCTTCCGTTTGATTTGTTTTTTCTTCTAGCAAGTGTCCCAAGGCGACATGCTGGATGACCATGGATCCTTGTAGTCTCCCCCAGGTGACCGACGAGCGCATGCACACTCTGCCACGGTGGGTCGGCTGCAACATCTGGTCCCCCCTTGACGCCTACGGGTTCGTCCCGGGGGGTGCATATGACAGAGGGTCCTGGCCTACCTGTCACGGCGCTCCCCGTAGGCTGACGCCGTCGCGACTACGGTCGGGGGCGTCCTTTCTACCGCCTCCCTGCTTATCCTGGTGATGGAGTCCGGCCTTCCCTCCACAGGGGGGTAGGTATGGGGGTCTGCGGTGGATGTGTAGCGGGGACCAGGAGCTAAGGTAAGCTTGGGGGCTGCGCTGTTCTCTGTCACAGCTGCAGCCTCCTGTCTCCCCCCTCCCTTCCCCCCTGCCTCATGGTGCTCGGGCCCCGGGGGGACATGGATGGTGCCTGTGCGGGCCTCCTTTGAGGGGACTTGGGCTCTGGGGGAGCTTGTATGGCCCCATCAGTGTGGTGGCCGCTCGTTCGGCGGCCGCTACTAGAGGCCCCGGTCTGCTTGCGGCCCTCAGATGGCGGTACGGCCGCCATTTTGGATGTGGGCGGGCGCCCCTCTTGCCTCATGGCTATAACTTAGGTTGCCCTTGGAGCGCTTATGTGCGGGCTTCCTAGTCGGGGACTTGGGCTCTGAAGGAGCTCCTGTGGCCTTTTCTGTGGGCGGCCGCATCTGTGGCTGATGCCGCTCGTTCGGCAGCTGCTACTCGGGGCCCCGGTCTATTTGCGTCCTCGAGGGGGTTGCCATCTTGGATCTGGGCAGGTGCCCTTTCTCCCTATGTCAATTCCGCCCGGGCTTCCTCTCAGCCTTGGATGGATGGGGAGTGTCTTTCTTTTGGCCTGGGACGCCGTGGGAGCAAGCAAGACACAGGGTGCAGCTCTCCTCCACCTCCAGAGTCGGACGGCTGGTGCTGGGCTGAGACAGTGACGCTGGGGGTCGTGAGTACTACGGGGTCTCTCTCTCGCCTGTGGTGGTTCGCAGGGATGCTTCTCCTGCATTGCCTTGTGAGGGCTGCTCTGCGGACCCCTCTCTGTGCGCCTCAGGGTCCTCTGGGGGGGAGGGGGGGGGTGGTCGGCACCGCTCTGTCCTTGGAGGAACCGCGCTGTCCGCCTAGGAAACAGGCTTTGCCATTGCCGTCCCCTGCCCTGTCGGGGGAGGAGGAGGGGGAACTTCCGACGATGTCGCCGCCGCCGCATCCTGATCCCGGTGATTCCTCGCAGCCTGATTCGGCCAGTGAGGATGAGGCAAGGCCCACTTTCTCCGCTCACAAGCGGCTTTTTCGCTCTCCGACAAGGCCGGGAAGTTTAACAAATCCTCCTTCACAATCTTCCAAGCGTCCATGGCAGCCTAAGTCTGCCAAGTCTGCCGGCAAGCCCCAGTCCACATGAAGGTCGCGCCCCGACTCTGGTTCTCATGTTGGGGGCACCTTCGGCTCTTTGCGGATTTTTGGTTGGCCCATGTCTCCGACACTTGGGTCCAGGAGCTGGTTTCTTCGGGCTACAAGATCTAATTTCTGTCCTGTCCGGGGGAACAGGTTCTTTCCGTCCAACACGCGACCTTCTCCTCCGCGGTTGGCGGATCTTCGTCGCACTGTTGCAGACCTTTTGTCTCGGGGTGATCATGCCGGTTCCAACCTCGGAAAGGTTCAAAAGGTTTTATTCCAACCTGTTTACTGTGCCCAAGAAAGAGGGGGTTCGGCCCATCCTGGACCTCAAATGTTTGAACACCTTTGTGCAGGTCCGTCGGTCCCGGATGGAGTCTATCAGGTCCGTGGTGGCCTGGCTTCATCAGGGGGATCTGCTAGCCTCCATCGACATCATAACTGCTTGTTACTTGAGACTTGTCAGCAAGTGGGGGGTTGGGCCACCAGCAGGGGCCACCCCTAGGCTGTCTTGTCTTTTATGTGCCTAGCGTCCTACTCCTGCAGGTGGCGATATACCCTACCATTCAGGATCTACGATCTGTTGCCCGGTGTCCTTCAATGAATGGAGAGAATTCATTGAAGGACACAAGGCAGTCCCGGTGAGTACAAAATCCTTTTTTTTCCTTGTTGGACCATGCTTTTTATAAAAGGTTTTTCCTTTCTCTGAATACACTTTTTTTTTCATGTTTATATTTTTGTGTACAGTTTATGTAATTGTAGCTATAGATCAGCTTGGTGGGCTGGTAGTTGTGTATTTTTGGACCTGCATTAATATTCATTCATATACCAAATACCTTGCAATGCAATTGCAATACAACAGCTGATTCTGATTGGTGATTAGTATGGAAAAGCATTTTTTAATTTTTTTGCTTCTTCGTGAAGCAGGTGAAACAAGTTGGGCACTTTTTTACTTTGATTTAGCAGTATATATTGCGGTCATGAAATAAGTGGTAAGGGGGTTCAGTGCTCTCTTCTCTATCTCTATATGCAGAACCTTGGGTCACCTAATATGAGTATACAAAAGGCCCCTGTTTTACTGTTGCGACATAATAAGTAAGAATATTACACAAATTTCTCACCTGATCCTGTAATAAAGCTTATATATTGGTATTTGCACAGTGAATGTGAACAATGATTTGTTTAATAGTTTCATATCCACTGTTTAAATGGTATGTTTTATTCATCCATCTGTAAATATGTTTGGTCATACCACCATCTACAGTGAATTTATCATTTACCTTTACGACTGTTTTGGATATTTAGCATGATTATTGGCTCAATCCATATTAGGCATACTGTGTGACTGAGAATGTACTTAAAATGGTGTTCTGGTTTCCAGTAATGCTTTTCAATAACTGTAGAAATGTTGTTATTTTCAGGTGATGCCAGTGAGAGTGCTGAAGACATCTTTATTCGAAAGGCAAAAGAAGGAATGGATGGTGATGAGGCTCAGTTCAGTGTGGAAATTCCAGTTACAAGCAAAGCCTATCTATGGGCAGACAAATACAGGCCTCGTAAACCTCGATTTTTTAATCGAGTACACACTGGCTTTGAGTGGAATAAATACAACCAGACCCACTACGATTTTGACAATCCCCCACCAAAGATTGTGCAGGGCTACAAGTTTAATATTTTTTATCCAGATCTGATTGATAAAAGGTCCACTCCTGAATATTTCCTTGAGGCTTGCCAAGAAAATAAAGACTTTGCAATTCTAAGGTTTCATGCAGGGCCTCCTTATGAGGACATCGCATTCAAAATAGTAAATCGTGAGTGGGAGTATTCTCATCGACATGGTTTTCGCTGTCAGTTCTCAAATGGTATTTTTCAATTGTGGTTCCACTTCAAGAGATATCGATACAGAAGATAGGTGTGTAGTCACTTGGAAATATGTTTTTGGACCGTTTGTTTATACTAAGAAAAGTTTAGGACTAATTCTTTTTTTGAGGGTGTGCCCAGTGTTTGTATATTTAGCTCACATTATACTGTATAGTATTCGATTTGTATGAGTTAGAATGCTGTTTTTAGAATTAATTAAAATTTTTCATAAAAAAATAGATTCTTTATTTGGCTTGCCTTTTTCTTTTCTTTAAAAAAAAAAAAAGTTTACTTAGAGATGTATTCTGTTTTGGTCTATAGCTCATATGCTCCCATCACTAAAGATATTTATTACGAGTCAACACCTTTTTCCTTGTGTGCCATTACCATTGCAAAGAATTAATGGAACACAGGGAAACATTAATAGTAGCCCCAGATGAAGTCAATTGTGACGCCCAGCCAGAATATTGGGATAAACCTTCAGAATGTAATTACTTGTTACACAATATACATTTGGGATAGGAATTTTTTTTTTTTACAAAAATGTATAATTGGATATTGAGAATATCTATTGTGATGGTGCCAGTAAATTGTCAGCATGATTAGTACAGGAACATCGTAATGTAAGAAAGTTATCACACACACCTGTCTGACGCAAAGTCAAGAGCTATCAGGTAGTTTTCCTGGAGGGGTATTTCTTTGATGAAACTAGACAAGTAGGCCAAGTAGGCAGGCTCATTCTTAATGACCTACCAAATGAAACACAATTATAATAAATAAAAGTTTTGTAAATACCCTATTCTCTGCCATTGCAACATCTTGATTCTTTTTTTTTTTTTTTTTTTTCAGCCATTGTAGATTTGCTGTGTGGTTCGGATCATTGTCTTGGTGCATGACCCAATTATGGCCAAGCTTTAGCTGACAGACAGATGGCCTCACATTTGACTCTAAAATACTTTTGAGTCGACCATGAACTCCTCTGTAAACCAAAGACTGCAAGGTGCCCAGGTTCAATGGCTGCAAAACGAGCCCAAATCATCACCCCTCCTCCACCACCGTTCTTGACAGTTGGTATGAGGTGTTTGGCCATAATGCAGAGCCACGTTTGGTGAAAACCAAACATAGTATATATCAGCCCGAACATCTCCACTTTGGTCTCGTCTGTCCAAAGGACATTGTTCCAGAAGTCTTTTGGTTTGTTCAGATGCAACTTTGCAAACCTAAGCCATGCTGCCATGTTCTTTTTAGAGAGAATAGGCTTTCTCCTGGCAACCCTTCCAAATAAACCATACTTGTTCAGTATTTTTCAAATTGTACTGTAATGAACATTAACATTTAAGATGTAACTTATGGGTTTTTGCAATTTCTCTGAGCATTGCACAGTCTGAACTTGGGGTAAATTTGCTGGGAAGTCCACTCTTGGGAAGATTGGCAACTGTCTTGAATGTTTTCTAATTGTGAATAATCTTCCTCCCTGTAGAATAATGGACTTTAAATTGTTTGGAAATGGCCTTATTACACTTCCCATATTGATGGGCAGCAACTATTGCTTCTCTAAGATCATTGCTGATGTCTTGCCTCTTTGGCATTGTGTTAACACACACCTGAATGCTCCAGAGCAGCAGACTGCTAAAATTTCGGCCATCTATTCCCCCCAACAGATTCCTCCATCTATGCTAAACCGTGTGGATGGAGGAATCTCCCACTGGACCAAGCTTCAGTATCTTGGTAGTCGGCCCCACTGGCTCTCAAAGTACCTGAACAATGCCTGCATCCAATCAGATTGTTCAGGTATTATAACAGCCAGCGGGGCCGACTAGCAACTGCGGCTGTCTGAGCGTCAGAAGCAGAGCGGAGAGGGGGGAGCTGTACGGGGATCAGAGCGAGTGACTGAACGTCAGGAGGAGAGAGCGACACTAGTATCGAGATCCTCCGGCGGCTGAGCTGACAAACAGGAGCGAGTGTGGGAGTTGATTGATTGGGCTGTGACCGGGTCAGGCGGCTGAGTGAAGAGGAGAAGGAGGGAGAGAGAACACATGCATGGGGCTGGAGGACTGATCGGCTGAGAGTAAGTGGTGAGCTGAAATAATTGGTGATTGATTGCACTGAATTGGTGATTGATTGCACTGAATTTTACTATAGTTGCAAGCCTCACTGAAATATAATAGGAGTCTGTGTGAGCAGAAGGCAGAGTGGCATTGCAGGGGCAGGCTGAGTTGGGGCTCTGTTGGACTGTGAGTTGAAAGGGGACAGACAGGGCCGCCGTCAGGGGGGTATGGCCGATAGTCATGTAAGGGGCCCAGCCAGCCACCGGGGCCCGCCCGGGACCCTTACATGAGTATCAGCCGACGGTGGAGGGCGAGGACCGCAGCTCTTACAGCGTCGGCGTACAGTAAACTTGGTCCGGTCCGCCCCAACCCCCCGCCCCCTCTTGGTCCTGTTCAGTTGATACCTTCCTGTGCAGAAAAGTTTTTTTTGGGGGCGGAGCTTGGGGAATGAGCACTGAGAGTGAGGCGGGAGAGGAGCAGAGCTGAGCTGCTGGTTCTGGACTGCACTGAAGTGGAAAGGTAAGCAGATGTCTGGGGGAACAGCAGCAGTGTGGTGTCAGACTCTGGGGTGGGGGGCTGGGCCCACTGGGGAGATGGGCATTGGCAGATGACAGCAGCAAGCAGCTGGTGCCCAAGGCTGATAGGGGCCTGACGCTGGAGTACAGCATCGGGCCCCTATTCAGCCTTGGGCACCAGCTGCTTGGTGCTGCCATCTGCCAATGCCCATCTCCCCAGTGGGCCCGGCCTGGGGAGATGGAGTGGGGGGGAGTGTTTGCAGAGGACAGTAGCAGCAAGCAGCTGTTGCCCAGGGCTGAGAGGGGCCCAAAGCTGGGGCCCAGTAGTGGGCCCCTATTTAGGCCTTGTTCACACCGAAAGCATGTGCGTTCCAGAGCGGTAGCTGCTGGAACGCACCACGATCGCTAAGAAACTTCTCCCCGCGTTTTGGGGCGGGAGGGGACGTGGCGGTGCATTGAATTCAATGGCACTGCTTCCACACACCCCTGCCCGCAGTGCGATCGAACGCTTGGCAAGACTTTGGGCTTGCTCTATTTTTTGCGTTTGCAGTGAAATGCAACGCTGCCAAAGTTTTGCCACGCGTTCGATTGCACTGCGGGCAGGGCTGTGTGGAAGCGGTGCCATTGAATTGCACAGCTGCTCCAGTTTTTGTCTTTCAGTTTTGATAATTCCCCAAGAATGTTTGTTTTTTGATGGTTTTAGTTTGAAATGTACCTTGGTGTCCTTCACTAAGGGCTGTACTTGGGAAAATGTCCGCCACAGCATTGACCCATGCCTATCCCTGGCAAGGAGGCGGCCGGGCCCCCGCAGCAGCGGAGGCCTGGCCCTAGCTGCGCATGGCCCCAGCATTGCCGCTCCAGCGGCTTCGAGACAAGGCGGACTGGTGGAAGTGACGACACGTTAGTGACGTCACTTCCGGTCAGTCCGGGGAGGAGGCATGGCACTGAAGGTACAATGTGCCTTGTGATCCCGTACGGGTGATCGCATTGCAGCCAAAGGGCGTGGCTACGTTGCCATTCACTTCAATGGCTCGTCACTCCCACTCCAGCCCGGCAAAAAATGAGCCAGCCGCAATGCGGGCAGTTCAAAGACTCCAGAGAGACAGCGAAAGTTGAGAGAACAAGTTGAGGGGACAGAGGGCTCACTGCAGTGAATATAGTTAATCAAATTAGTAAGATATCAACCATACTAAGGTCCAATAAAAAAAAAAGTAGTGGGGCGCCAGAAATGAGTAAAAATGTAACCCAAACTAACATCAAACTCAAATGTATGTACACCAAGTCTAGCAAACACATTAGAGCATGAAGTTATGCTACTCGAAGAGGACTTCGATATAGTGGGATTAGCTGAAACTTGGGCTACACAATACACAGGACATGCTCACATGGCTATCAATATACACTGAGTGGCCAGATTATTATGACCACCTGACGTATGTAGGCAAATTAGCTATAATTTCGCGCTGAAGTTGCTAGAGGGCCAGACCATCATAAATAGGGAAGCAGGTTGTTTACCACGACAGTAGAAGTGATTTTTTTCTGAAGATATGGGTAAACAACGCGATTTAACATCCTTTGAACGTGGGATGATTGTTGGCGCTTGGAGCGAGTATCAGCAAAACAGCAAAAGAGCAGCTGTTGTTAAAGTGTTTAAAGACTGGACTGTCAGCCGAAAATCTGTGTCTAAGCGTCCGAATTGTGGCCGTCAGTTACTAGTCAATGTTAGGGCAGAATGGAGAGTGGCAAGACTGGTACAAGACAACAGAAGAGCAACAGTGCAGTGTCAGATTCCTTGCATCACCTTTCAACATCTTGTGGAGTCACGAGGCAGCCCAACTAAGTCATCTCGTGGCCCAACAAAGTACTGATGGTGTGGTCATAATAATCTGGCCACTCAGTGTAGAAGGGTACAACCTGTTCAGGAGGGACAGGTTTGGGAGAAGGGGGGATGAGGGTATGCATGTATGTTAAAAATAATCTAACTGCACATACGGGATGACATCACGGCAGAGAGTCGCGATGGTGTAGAACTAGATAAGACCGATGCTAGTCGTAAACTAATTGTGGGTGTGTGTTATAAACCACTGAATGTAGTTGAAGAGGAGGAAGATCAACTACACTCCCAAATAGAAAAAGCTGGGAAGCAGGGTAATGTTGTAATTGGTGACTTTAATTATCCGGACATCAATTGGTCTAATGGAACCTCTCATTCTATAAAGGTGGGCCGTTTTCTGAACCTGTTGCGGGACAATTTCATGGATCAAATGGTTGAGGTTCCAACTAGGAAAAATTCCATCCTAGATTTAATCATTTCCAACAATGTTGACATAATTGCAGACATCGCAGTTAGGGAGACACTGGGTAATAGTGATCACAATGTGATTACTTTTAGGGTTAGTTCACACCATATGCAGTGCGTTCCGGTCCGATTCTGGCCGGAACGCACTGCATCGCATTGAGGCCGGCTCACTTTGTTGTGGGGCAGGAGGGGGCGTGGTGGGCCATTGAACAAATGGCACCGTAGCCGTGCTCTCCGGCCGCAATGCGGATGCAATTGGATGCAATTTTTAAATTTGATTTACTTGTGGCGGCCATATTGATTTTAGGATCGGGCCAGTTTCTACAACCGTGGCAGAAGAGGTTGCCCTGGACATATGCACAAAGTTTTGAGTTATTCTGATATATGGTTTCAGAGT